ATGGGAACAAATATAGATCTCTTCCAGTCAGTTGGCCAAGTGGTTGTTCTCCAGTTTTCTTGACACAACTTGGTAAGCACATCCAGGGCAGCATCTATTAGCTGAAATATGTCAATTGGTATACCATCTATTCCTGGGGCTTTATTTTTTTTTCTATTCCTTCAAAGCAGGTTGAACTTCTTCCTTCATCACCATAGGCTCTTGCTCATATGTTCTTTCATTAAATTCTTCTGTGTTTGCCAATTCCTTTCGATACTCAGTATATTCTTTCTTCTTTTGATACCTCCTGGATCGTTTAATACTCTGCCTAAAGCATCATTGATTATAGCAACCCGAGGCATCAGGATAGGATAACCTATATTATTGAGATGACACAACCTTGTTTGCTGAAAGTGAGATTTTCTGCAGAAAATCAGAGACTACAGTCTTCAATATGGATAACATCTCAACATCAAGGAATCAAATGTTCTTAACACTGGACTGATAGGCAACTTCATGAAAGATGGAGAAAAGACTGAAACTGTCAACAACTTTATCTTACAAGAATCCACCATCAACACCCCTGAACCCAGCAATCAGTACATGAGGAGACATATTGCACTGGGAAAGTACGTAGTCCGGGACTTTTCCAAATTACTGAGGAACACTGATGTCATTTGTGATGACTAAGGTGCATCTAAGGTGTGCCTGATACAGGCCATGGTCTTTGCAATCACTTGCTATGCATCAGAGGACAATGACTAGGGGCGACAGAAAGAGAATTGATGCCTTTGAGCCATGGTGTTGGAGAAGAGTACTGAATGTACCTGGACTGCTAAGAAAGCAAACAGGTTCACCCTGTTGTTGTTGTTGTTATGTGCAGTCGAGTCACTTGCGACTCATAGCAACCCTATGTGCAACAGCCCTAAACTCTGCTCTATCCTGTGCCAATCGCACTGTCTCCGATACACCCATCGCAATTACCCCAGTCACTGAATCAATCCCCTCATAGAAGGTCTTCCCCTCCTGCACTGTCCCTCCACCCTCCCAAGCATGATGTCCCTCTCCAAGGACCTGACCGGTCCCTCCTTACAACATGTCCAAGACAGAGCCTCAGAATCCTTGCCTCCAAGGAGCCACCCAGTTTAACTCTTTCCAGGATGAATCTGTTTTCCTAGCAGTCCATGGTACCCTCAATACTGTTCTCCAACACCACAGCTCAAAGGCATCAATTCTCCTTCTATCCTCCTTAGTCACTGTCCAACTCTCTGATGCATAACAAGTGACTGAAAAGACCATAGCCTGTATCAGACGCACCTTAGTCTCCAGAGAGACACCATTGCTCTTCAGTACTTTGGAGAGGTCCTAACAGCAGACTTTCCCATTGCAATATGTCTTTTAATTTCCTGGCTACTGGTGCCAAGAGTGCTGACTATGGAGCCAACAAACTAAAGCTGTGAACAATCTCAATCTCTTCATCATCCATACTGATGCTGCCAAATTGGTCCTTGTTGTTGTTATGTGCCGGCGAGTCGTTTGCGACTCATAGCGACCCTATGCACAACAGCCCTAAACCCTGCTCTATCCTGCACCAACTGCACCGCCTCTGACACACCCATCCCGATTACCCCAGTCACCGAATCAATCCATCTCATAGAGGGTCTTCCCCTCCCACGCATGATGTCCCTCTCCAAGGACCCATCCCTCCTGGCAACATGTCCAAAATATGTCAGACGAAGCCCCAGAATCCTTGCCTCCAAGGAGTAGCTTGGTTTAATCCTCTCCAAGATGAATTTGTTTGTTTTCCTGGCAGTCCATGGTACATTCAGTACCCTTCTCCAGCACCACAGCTCAAAAGCATCCACTCTCCTTCTGTTCTCCCTAGTCATTGTCCAACTCTCTGATGCATAACAAGTGATTGCAAATACCATGGCCTGTATCAGGCGCACCTTAGTCTCCAGAGAGACACTGTTGCTCCTGAGTACTTTAGAGAGGTCCCTAACAGCAGACTTTCCCATCGCGATAAGCTTTTTGATTTCCTGACTGCTGGTGCCAAGAGTGTTGACTGTGGAGCCGAGCAAACTGAAGCTGTGAACAATCTCAATCTCTTCGTCATCCATCCTGACGCTGCCAATTGGTCCAGTGGGGAGAATCTTTGTCTTCTTGACATTGAGCCTCAGTCCATACTGAAGGCTGCAGTCCTTGACCCTTCGCAGCAAGTGCATGAGGTCCTCCTCAGTTTCAGCAAGCAGGGTTGTGTCATCTGCATAACGCAGATTGTTAATAGATCTTCCACCAATCCTGATGCCACAATTCTCCTCCTAGAGCCCAGCCTCTCGGATAATCTGCTCTGCATACATGTTGAAAAGGTATGGAGACAGGATGCATCCCTGGCGTATACCCTTCCCAATTTTGAACCATGCAGTGTTACCCTGCTCTGTTCTGACTACTGCCTCTTGGTCCAAGTATAGGTTTTGCATTAGCACAATTAAATGTTCTGGGATTCCCATTCTTCTCAGAGTCAGCCACAGTTTGTTATGATCCACACAGTCAAATGCCTTTGCATAATCAATGAAACACAGATAGACATTCTTCTGGTATTCTCTGCTTTCAGCCAAGATCCATCTAACAATTGGTCCTAGGGAGGGTTAAACCAGGCTTCTCCTGGGAGGCAAGGATTCTGAAGCTTCATCTGACATACTTTGGACATGCTGCAAGGAGGGACCAGTCCTTGGAGAGGAACATCATGCTTGGGAGGTGGAGGGACAGCGCAGGAGAGGAAGATCCTCTATGAGGTGGATTAATTCAGTCACTGGGGTAATCGGGGAAGGTGTGTTAGAGACAGATTAACACAGGAATGAGCAAGGTTTAGAGCTGTTGTACGTAGGGTCTCTATGAGTCGCAGGCGACGCAAGGGCACATAACAACAACAACAATGCAGGCCATGGTGTTTTCAATCACTTGTTATGCATCCGAGAGCTGGACAATGAATAGGGAGGACAGAAGAATTTGAAAGCTCTGGAGTTGGAGAAGAGTACTGAAAATTCCACGAACTGCCAAAAGAACAAACAGATATGTCTTAGAGAAGGTGCAGCTGGAGTGCTCCTTGGCTGCAAAGATGATTAGAGTCCATCTCCCATACTTTGGGCAAGGAGAAGCTATTCCTTGGAGAGGGACATCATGCTTGGAATAGTGGAATTTCAGCGAAAGAGAGTAAGATCCTCAACCGGATGGATTGACACAGTGACCACAGCAATGGGCTCAATTATGTCAGAGATTATGATGATTGCACAGGATAGGTCTAGATTAAAATCTGTTGTTCATATAAGTCGTATTCGACTGCACCTACCAACAACAATTAAGAGTAATATATAGAAGGGGGGTGGAGGGGTGGGCAGGGAGGAAAGTGTTCAACTATAAATGAATGGAAATCTAAAATTTTAAACTTTCATTAAAATAATTTTTTTAAAAAAGTAATATATAGAATCTGAAATAACAAGTTTTTAGTAAATAACCAAATTAAGCACGTATCTCTAGTTTATTCCGACCTAAGGCGAACTTCTGTTGGTTTTCCGACGCTGTAAATCTAACCGGGCCCAGCCTGCCCCACCTTTCTCCACAGGAGTGTCAGGGTGGGAGGGTTTCAACCACCCACCCATTGTTGGGTTAACACACCAATTAATCTACTACGCCACCAGGACTGAGATGATAGGTTAAGTGGAAACACTATGGAGTTTTGAGCTTACTCACCGCCTTGAAAGTAGTAGCGGTTTGCAGGGTCGGGGGTAGGTACCCCTAGAGAGCGGGAAGGGAGAGCTTGGAGCTAGGACGGGTCGGGTACAGATACGCCAGCGGAACCTGAGCTGCCTGGGTCGGCGCCGCCCGGAGGATTGAAGGTCGGACGCTCACGCACCGGAAGGAGCCTCACGGTTTCCGCACCGGCTGCCTCGCTCCGTCGGTAACACTGGTATTTTGACTAGGAAGGTGGGACGCTGCAATGGAGTCAAATGTGGTAGACAGTACCTCTGATGATGCCATGGACGCATTCTTGGAAAAATTCCGGAGCCAACCTTACCGCGGCGGTTTCCACGAGGACCAGTGGGAAGAGGTGGGTGATCTCGTTATCCGAATGCACGAGGCTCCGGTGACCACTGTCGCTGAAGTGAAGGGGGTGGTTTTTGCTTGAGAGTTGAAAAATCAGCCTCAGCGTTTTGGGTGTTTTCTTCACTTGCCAGTACATTTAAGTGTCCTGGTTTTGTAATGAGGTAGACTTGTGGCTTCACCTCTTACTGCTTCTACTAACTTACCAGTTAACTTATCAGCCTGTTGCTTCACCTTTTAAATACCTTTATCGGTAGCAGCAACCTCGTAGAGTTGTTGATGAAGTGGGATGATTGCTAGAAGTATCAGGCTCACAGGGCAGACACAGTGAGTGGCTTTACCGCCACTCTTGTAGAATGTGAGAACTGACACTGTTCAGAAATCTTTAACCTACGGTCGGCCTTACCGATGGGAAGTTGAGGCCAGAATTGGGGGAGATACAGAAAATCATGATGAGTAAGACAACTTTACTTTAGACTGGTGAAACTGTATCTATTCAGAGAAAACCCTGGTTCATGGAATTAATTCTTCTCTTAACAATCTCCAGGAGTTTGACAAAATCCCCCTCTTTATGAAGAAAGCACCATTAGAAATTGATCCGAAAGAGAATCCTGACTTGGCTTGCCTTCAGTCAATTATTTTCGATGATGAACGATCTCCAGAAGGTATTTACATCATTGTAATGTGTGTTTTGTGTTTGTGTTGAACTGAGGTGTGAGTTAGAAACATGGATAAGGAGACATAGTATCTCAGTAACTATATTCATGCCACGCATACCTAAGTAAGTACCTGCTAAAGGTTTTGTGGTCTGTAGAGAGAAATTTAAGTACAAGGTTTTGCTCTACATTCACATTCCAGTGGTGGCCAAATTGTCCTAAAGAATCAGGAGATATGTATGATCAGAGTCAACACGCATGAAACCAGTTAGAGCCAGAACTCTATGAAGCTAACTTGTTCTTCTCTCTTAAAAATTGTCCACCTCCTCCAAGGTGCAGTCTTACCACTTTTCTCCCACTCATTTCAGGGGCAAATATTTGAGCTTTCTCTCTCCGATAGTATTCTGTCTTACACAGGTTTCAGCTTTCACAGGTTTTAATCTGCTAGCCCTGAGAATGTCTATAAAGAGCATGTGTGATCTCAAAAATGGATTGTAAATTTGAGCTGAGTCTTAAAAATGTTGTAGATTCTTAACAGAGTAAGGATAATTTGCATTCCAGAGAACGAAACAACATAAGCAAAAACAGAAGTTTGATTTCACCTTCTTCAGAAATGAGGGGGGAATCCCCCTCTTTTCTCTTAGAACTATTTTAACAATGCTTTTTTTCTGTAAGCACTTTATAATCTATCTTATTAAATTCTTGGAATTTGTCATAAATTACTGCATGCTTTCTATTTAATGAGTCTTCCCCCACCTTTGTTTTTTTGTTCTTTTTCTTTTTGGTATTCTTTTTTTGTTTGTTTTGTTTTGTTTAAATGAGCCTTTTAAAAGACAAGAAATGGTAATCATTTTTCCTCTTATTCAGAACAGGCCAAGACATACAAAGATGAGGGCAATGATTACTTTAAAGAGAAGAACTATAAGAAAGCTGTAATTTCCTACACTGAGGGATTGAAGAAGAAATGTGCCGACTCTGATTTGAATGCTGTCCTTTATACCAACCGAGCAGCAGCACAGTACTACCTGGGTAATTTATTATTCAGTGCTTTCTAAAGAATTAGTGTATAATTAAAGGTATTAGTGCCTACAAGAGGGTTGGAGAGAATCAGTAGAAGGGGCATAGTTTATCCGACAGAACTAAACTCAGAGTTTGTTCAACTTGAATTCTGATCTTAGCTAGATGGAGTTTAAAGAGAAACTGTGTAGGTTGCATAATTCTTACTATCTGAATCACATAATTGGCTTGTTATATGCCATCAGGTCAGATCCTATTTATAGCTGATCCTCCAGTGGGTTTTCAGAGGCAGAAAATTACACAATACATTGTCATTCTTTCTTCTGTAGAGCAGCTGGTGGACTGAATGTACTTACTTTTGGGTTGACAGTGCAACTTCTTGCTTGAGATGACCTATAGGAAACAGTCTTACTCAAGTCTTGTAAACCTTAACTCAAGTAACACTTACTAGCATGATAAAGGGTATTCTGCTGATAGAACTTGGGGAGATGTTATTTGGATACTTATTTTTGCCAGGGTAGATGGGAAGATAGTGATCCTACTACTTGAAATAGGTAGTCTAGAGAAACAGAAATGTCAAGAAAACAAAGATTCTTACCACTAGACCTTGTGAGAGGCAGCATCATGATAGATGGAGAAGAGATCAAAACTGTCAACAACTTCATCTTGCTTGGATCCACAATTAACACCTTGGTACGAGCAGTCAGGAAATAAGGAGATGCATTGCACTGGAAAAAATCTACAGTTAGGGATCCCTCCAAATTATTGAAGAGTCAATTTATTATCGCAATTTGAGGACTAAGGTGCATCTGATTCAGGCCATAGTCCTTGTGATCACTTGCTATACATCGGTGAGCTGGACAATTAATAGGGATGACAGAAAAAGAATTGATGCCTTTGAGCTCTGGTGTTGGAGAAAAGCACTGAACAAACATCCCATGGACAACCAAAAGAACAAACAAATATGTCTTGGAGAAGGTGCAGCCAGAGTGCTTTTTGGAAGCTAGAATAATGAGGCTTTTTCTCGCATACTTTGGGCGTGTTGCCAAGAGGGGCTGTTCCTTGGAGAGGGACATGATACATAGGAAGGGTGGAGGATTGGTGAAGTAGAGGAAGACTCTCAACCAATTGGATTGATGCAGTGACTCCTTCAGTGGGCTTTTGTGTGTCAGGAAGTGTGAGGATAGTGGCAGGATAAAAGAGGGTTCAGATCTTGTGTTCTTAGGGTCGCTATGAGTCATACTTGACAGCATCTAACAACAACAGAGAAACAACAGATTTTAGGAAGGAGATTATGGGGAGAGATAATACATTTACTGTTACGCATGTCAGATTTGAAGTACCTGTAAACCATCCAGTGGAGAAGTTTGGAAATCAGGTGGATTCACTGGTATAAATCTTGGGGCGTGGGGGGGAGTTGGCCCAGAAATTTATGTTCATAGATTTATATTCATAGTCATGAACATATATAGGTAGCAGGTGGAAGCTAAGAATGGACTAAAATCCTTCACAGAGGATGTATAGTTAAAGAGCATAAGTTGTTGAGGAAGAAACCTTAGGAATCAGAGACAGGGAAACGGTTCCTAAATAGATTGATCAGGGAGAGATAAAGAGAACCAAGAAAGAGTAGTCTTAGATGTCCAGGGAGTAAATTTAAGGGAAAAATAAGCAGAACAGAAAGATAAAGACAAATGTTGGCCAGAAATTTTGAGCCCCACATGAATATTGCAAATATTTCTACAAATTGAATGGTGGTTTTTGGCTACTCTGGTGATAGAGTTTGTCCTTTTCTATATAAGGTGCAGAGCCCTGCTTTCATGTGGACCAACGTCTGCTTTTAAAATTTGAGATACGTCCTGCTGATTTGTCAGAGGCCTACAAAACATAATTTCTTTAAAAAATTGTAAGAGTAGCAAGTTTTAAAAATATCAGCAGTAAACCAAACACATTGCCATCGGAAATGATTCTAACTCAAGGTGTCCTTCCACTGACTTCCCAAGGCTTTAAATCTTAACAGGAACACTGTCTCATCACTAACCTTTTGGTTGATAGCCCAACAAGATATAACCAACCCACTGTGCCACCAAAATTGTCATCCCTTAAGTCTATGCCTAGTGTGAATGTTGGATATATGTCCCTCTGGTCTTTTTTGTTGTTATACTGTCAAGTCAGAACCAATTCAGCTCAATCTCCAGCAGGTTTCTAGAGGCTGCATATTGCATGGAAGGAGATGCCCATTTTTCTTCAGCAGAGTAGCTGGTGACTCTGAACTGTATGCCTTTGAATTCGTAGTTTAACTCTTTACCACTAAGCCACCAGAACTTCTCGTCTTATTTATTTAAGTGTACTCTTTATTTTTATTACTTTTACATATACATGTAATTTAAATACACAAATTGTTCTTTATTAAAGTATCAGTTCCTTGACTGTCTCTCCAACCATTTTCTGCCCTTAAGAGGAAAGGTTCCACTCTAGTTCCAATCAGAGGAACCACTTCCAACTCTTTTCTTTCCAAGCTGTTTCTTTTCATGTTCATCTCTGTATTACTAAATAACATATTTATATTACTGTTTTAATTTTCTAATTTTGGACATTAGCTGTTAATTCCTGCTATGGTAGAGATTAATTTTTATTTTTTTACCACATGCCCACATCCAGCCTCTCTGTCCTGAAATATGAATATGTATGGGTATTCAGCCAAAATGCCATTGTATAATATAAATTGCATTGTTTTGTAAATACTATATACAACCATGTTGAATGTTACAATTGTTTTCCTTCAGTTAAGAACTGTCGTTATGTTTACTTGGTTTTCATGTACTTAGGCTAATTTATTGATATACTCTTCCTGTATTTCTGACTCCCTCATCAGGTGTGGCATCCACTTTTCCTTCGTGATGACACTGCCCTGGGAGTCTTCTGACTTTGGTCTGAACATTCTCTTTGTGCTTAGTGCACAGCTGTGATCCTGGGATCGTGCTTCTCCTTTGGGGCTTCCATTGATCTCTTGTGTTTGATGCGAGTTTCTTAGAAAACACAGTTTTTCTTCCTAGCTTACACTAGTGTTTTGGTGGAACACATTCTTTAGTATATCCCTGATAATGAAGGCTTGACAAATACATTTTAATGAAATCTTGTACTTTTATTTCACTCTATTACTCATCTAATTACCATTGAATCAGAATCGACTCTCAGTTGGCTCCAGCATGTTTTCTGAGGCTGTAAATTACAGGAGAGGATAGCGGATTTGAACTGCCTGAAAGCCACCACCTTTGGGTTAGCTGCACAGCTCCTGCAGACCTGTCACCTACTCTGCTACCACTTAAGTAATGGGTAATTTCTATAGGTATAGCATTCCAGGCTGAGAAGGGTCCCTCAAAAATTACAGCATTTCTTCATTCTTAATAGTATTTCTGTCGAAGAGTCTAAAACAATTTTGATTCCTGATCTTTTGGATGGTGTTCTATTTTCCTTTGGAAATACTGAGGATTTTCTCTATTCCCAGTGTGCTAACATTTCAGAACTTGCCTTGCTATGGGTCCTGTGCATTATGGAGTCAGTGAACTCTGTTTGGAAAGGTGTTTCTAGAAAATTTTCATATACTATTTCACTATTCTTTGATGGAGTCCTAGTTGCCTAGTGGGTAAGGAGTTTTGCCACCAACCCAAAGGCAGATGGTTCAAATCCACCAACTGCTCCATTGGGGAAAAATGGACAGTCTCTTCCCATGCTATTTATAGCTCTGAAAATCCTCTAGAGGGTCAGCTGTGAGTTGGTTCCAGCTCAACAGTACATAACCATCCTCTTCGTGCTTTTTTTCTTTTTTGGAAATTTTTGACAATCAAGTAGGTTAATCAGGATTTGATATTTATAATGTACTTTCACTAAGTCACCATGGTTTGTGCCCAGAGGCCCTTGGCTTGTATGGAACAAATCACTCTAATGTACCTTCACTGAGTCACCATTGTTTGTGCCCAGAGGCCCTTAGTTTGTATAGAATAAATCACTAATCTTCACTAGCTACAGGAGGTCTTGCTATAGGAGACATGTAAGTAAAGGACATCTTACTGCTGCTTAAAGAAGTTTTCAACCCACCTTCACCCCCCATTTCAAGAGATTCCTGATGCCATTTCTGAGCCTCGGAAGTTCTCGGAATACATTAGTGACTTTTTGGCTTTCCTTCTGATGCTTTGGAATTTGGTTTTCTCAGGCCTTATAAGTCATTCAATACTTATTCTTTTGCTGTCCAGCTGTCAAAATCTGTTTGATATTATTCTCAGGGTGGTTTGGTGTTTGGTTGTGTTTTTTTTTTAAATCTTTGTGAGTTTATAGCTTTTTGTTGGTGTTTCAAGTGAGATTTCTAGGAGAGGACTGAGCATGTATTCTGTTATCTTTAACCAGAGGTCATTAGATCATTTTTATGCACTTTTATATAATAGTTGAGATCATGCTGCTTACATAGTTGGGGGTTTATTGTGTGTGTGTGTATATGTATATACATATAGTGCTTTTTAAAATTTTTTTAACGTAGACTAATATACATGGCTAAACACTTGCCAGTTCATCCGTTTCATTTGCGTATGTGTTTTTTTTTAATTTATTATTAATTTCAGTGAAAATTTACAGAGACTTTGGATTGCCATTCATTCATTGTTGAACTTTTCTCCCCTCCTAACCCTCCCCCCTAGGACACTACCCTCTTGGATAAGTAAAAGAAAAATTCTTTCATTGTTTTACAAACCCTACCCCAGATCGACTCCACTGTGCAGCCTTTGCTCTGGACTCATGCCATGACAAAAATACCTAATCACATATCCCTTTTAAACAGTTTTCTCCCTCATCTGTTTCAATGCAGTATACATTATTGAACCCATCTTTCTCAGTCTCTCCAACCCCGATGTCAGTCCTGTTTTACATCAGTGGCACCATGCAGTATTTGTCCTTTTTGTGACTGAGATACTTCACTCAGCATAATGTCCTCCAGGGTCACCCATTTTGAATATTTCATGAGTTCCTTGTTTTTCAATGCAGCACAGTATTCCATTGTGTGACTATACCACAGCTTCTCTAGCAATTCGTTTGTTGATGGGCACTTAGGTTGCTTCCAACTCCTTGCTATTGTGAACAAAGCTGCAAGAAACATGGGTGTGCATATATCTGCCTGGGTATCAGTTATGATCTCTTTTGGGTATACTCCCAGTAGTGGAATTGCTGGGTCAAATGGTATCTCTATTTGCAAGTTTTTGAGAAAGCGCCATACCACCTTCCACAGTGGTTGCACCATTTTACACTCCCACCAACAGTGAATACGGGTTCCAGTTTCTCCACAACCTTGCCAGCATTTGTTACTTGCTATTCTGTTAAATTTTGCTATTCTGACTGGGGTGAGATGATATCTCAGTTGTTTTGATTTCCATCTCTCTTAGAGCTAGGGATTTTGAGCATTTCTTCATGTGCTTGTTGGCCATCTGAATATCTTCTTCGTTGAAGTGTCTGTTCATATTCTGTGCCCATTTTTCTATTGGATTATTTACCTTTATCTTGTTGTGGTGCTCAAGTATTTTATAAATTCTGGATATAAGTCTCTTATGTGATATGTCATTACCAAATACTTTTTCCCAGTCTGTGGCTTCCCTTTTTACCCTGTTGGAGTTTTTGGATGTGCATAGGGATTTGATTCTTAGAAGATCCCATTCATCTATTTTATCTTCTCCTGGTTGTAGGTCATTTGCATATGTATTATTTTTATGAATGAATAATTCGTCACCTAATTTTAAAACAGAAAATTTTACCTATTTGCAAATGCTGTAAATCACATAAAGTTGTACCATACCATTGTTTACATTATTTGCTTTACTGTTCCACTATTTTTCAGTATATAAAATGTTTTTGCAATATTGTAAAAAAGGAATAGTTTTATCAGTAATCCAGACTATTACTTAGGCTAAAGCAAGGGTCTCTAACTTAACTTGTGTCTTTTTATCATACTTTCTCTAATAATAGACATTATCAGTCTTTAATTTGTAGCAGTTTTATGTTTTAGTTTTCATAATCATTAGTGAGGTTCAGGAGCTATGACAATGTAGTCCCTAGGCTGCTAGCCAAAAGGCTTCAATTCTCCAAACCCAGTAGTGACTCCAAGGGACAGAGATGGGAAGTTTCTTCCCATTAAAATTTACACCTTGGAAACCCAGTGGAGAGCCACCCTGAATGGGAGTCAACTCCATGGCGCTGAGTTTTGAGTGTGGCTGTTTCTACTCTAGGTTGTTGGCCATGCATACATAGTCTGGATTGTCTGGTATAAACATTTTTTAAAGGCACATCACTAGGACAATGATACTATTCTCCCCCTAAAAATAGCTGCTGTGATTTAAATTTCTCTAAGGTTGTATTGTCTCTATTATAACACAAAATTTTGGAAACATTCTAATCTCAAAATGTGTTCCCCTTTTTTATTAAATTGCATCTTTTTTTGGGGTTTGTTTTTTAAATTAATTTCAGTGAACATTTACAGAGATTGTGGATTTCCATTTATTCATTGTTGCACTTAAATTGCATCTCATTAGGCAATTTTCGTTCTGCTCTCAATGATGTGATGGCTGCCAGGAAGCTGAAACCCTGCCACCTGAAGGCAATAATAAGAGGTGAGTCTTGTAGAACTGTCATTATGCAAAGGATGGAACTCATTGCACCAGAAGTTGAGACATTTTAAGCTTATTTAGTAAGGTGCTAAATAAGATAGTAATTAGGTCATCTTGATTTTGTAATCTTATATTACGTTCCTGCTTTTTAAAAATAGCAACATAGCCATTTTAAAAGAATTCTCCAGAGAACAAGCTTTAAGAACTTTTGGAGAAATTGAAATGCCTCCTTTTGAATTAATAGAAAATAAAATTCATTAAGACAAAATAGCTCCAAATGCCATCATACTTCAGTTTTTCTCCACATTAAATGATCGAAAGGCAAGATCTTTAAATGTCATGTTAATATTAATTAAAAGATAAGTAATAGAACCTTTGCCGATAACATTGATGCTGAGATATTCCCAGATTGTTTTTTCCTGTTCTGATCTGACCTTTCTATATAATAATTGTGCTTTTATTACTTTTGTGTTTCACCTTTTCTTTAAGAAGCTCATAGGTGCTTTGCACACTTTAATTTATTCATCACACATTAATGTTTGCTACATCCCCATGGACCAGCTTAAAATGCTTTATCAGAGTTATGCCTCTTTAAGTTAATGCCTCTTCATTTTTAGAACATGGGAAGTAGATCCATTTCTCTTAGCTGCAGGGAGATGAAGGCACTGAACAAAGATAGGCAAATGAATTGAGTATAGTTCTGTGAAGTTAACCTCAGGTTGGAAGTCTGTAATCCTCAGATTAATTATAAATTTTATCTTATCATGTGACCTTGACAAGACACTCATTCCGAAAATAATTTTGTTAGTCTCTGGAAAGTGGAGTTGGATTCTGTGATAACATGCCTGTCCAGTTCTGGTGTTTGTAAATTCTCTGTAAAGTCTAAAAAGGCTAACTGGAGAAAAATTAATGAGATTACAGTAAAAACACTTTTTCCCATTTGTTTTGTTTTAAATTCTAAGAAAGGGAGGTAACTTAAACCAATCATCATAAAGAACAAGAGTAGGAGAGATTTGATTATCTTTGGTCTGGACACTGATTTGAATTACTGAGGGAGTTACCTACTGTCTTTTTAAAAAAAGTCATCTGAGATAATGGAGCTCAGACATATTCAGTCCTTTGTCTTAAGACCCTGCTTGTAAATGACAGAGTCAGTATTCTAGCCTAGATCTGTCTGATTTCAAAGCTTGTGCCCTTTGTTAAAAAGCTGCAACCTTCCTGACTTGAGCAATCTTTAATACCAGGGAAGCTTGTTTTTGTATGCAGGATACATACATGTATTCTTTGTGCCAGGGGCTCCTTTTCCAGTTCGCCTTTCACAGTGGTATCTAGTAGCTGGGGGAGGGATTCTGCTCCAGATGGGATTCTTTCTGTGTACATTGTCCATGCATTCTAAGTGTTCTGGATTCTTCAGGTGCCTTATGCCATCTAGAATTGAAAAATTTTGCTGAGGCTGTGATCTGGTGTGATGAAGGACTGCAGATAGATGCCAAAGAGAAGAAGCTTCTGGACATGAGGGCTAAAGCAGACAAGCTGAAGGTTGGTAAAATCAACAACCAGTTACCCTATGGCTTCCCTATATTGTGGCTCTCAGGCCATTACAAACGCAAACCAGCAATATGATAGTCTCAAAGGACTCTGTGGAGGGTACAGTTACAATAAAATATAGAGGGCTGTGTAGTCGTGGCCGAGTGCTTAAGGTGATGGACTAGAAAATATAATATAGATAAGCAAGAATATTATATAGGTGTTTGTATGTATGTGTGTGTATATATATGTAATACATACAGTGTACATATGTATTATGTGTATATATAGCAGTAGTAATATATACAACATTGATGAAACTTGAAAACATGTTCAATAAGAGAAACTAGATATAAAAGACGATATATAGGTCTAGATATATGAAATACCGGAACAGATAAATCTGTAGATAAAGAATAGATTGGTTGCTAGGAGCTAGAAAGAACTGCTGATGGGTACAGAGTTTCCTTATGAGGTGATGGAAATGTTTTAGAACTACATAAATGTAAAACAATGAATATGACAATAACAACAAAAAAAAAGCCAGTGGTTTTTCATTGCTTAGTCAGTTATAACTTAAAATGATTCTATAGGACAGAGTAGAACATAGAGTTTCCAAGGCTGTCAATCTTGACAGTAGCAGACTACCTTTGCTTTCCCCCCACAGAGCAGTTGGTAGATTTGAACTCTGGCCTTTTGGTTCCCAGACCTAATCTGCTGCACCACTAGGGCTCTTTGATACACATTAAAATGGCTAATGGTTAATTTTGTAATGTGTTAATGTTACTACAAAATTTTTTTAGGAAAAACTATTATAAAAGGAAAAAATGGTAACTGGAACTTAGTAAAACTTACAAGTCTACTTTTCAGGGGACATTGTTTATAAAATTAAAAGGTGAGCTGTAATGTGGGATAAAATATTTGTAGTCAATATTCTAAGAAAGGACTTATATCTAAAATATATAAAGATACAATACTCAAAAATACACATTTTAAAAATGGGCTTGATTAGATCATATAAACAAATGTATTCCCAAAGGAAAAAATATAATGGCTAGTTGTTGTTAATTTGCCGTTGAGTCACCTGTCACTCATAGCAACCCTATGTACAGCAGCCCTAAACATTGCTCTATCCTGTGCCAATCTTACTGTCTCTGAAACTCCTACTCCCATTACCCAGTCACTGAATCAGTCTGTCTCATTGAGTTGAAATGTGCTTTACATCATTGTTGTTGTTAAGTGCCATGGAGTCGTAGAGGACTCGGCGACCCTATGAACAAAAGACCAGAGCACTTGTATAACTTTCATTGTTTTACCACGTTCATAAATAATAGGCATAGATCAATGATAAGTCACATCATTAGTCATTAGGAAAATGCCATTAAAACTGCATTAGAATTAGAACATCATATCTACTTGAATGCCTAAAATACTACAAAGGCTGATAGTACACCATATGGTTAAAAACGTGGAGCAACTAGAATTCTCCTCCAGGAGAAGTGAGTTGGTGTAATCACTTAGGAAATCAGTTTGTCAGTTTCTTATAAATTTCAGCATATATGTACTCCATGATCCTACACTTTATTTCTTGGTAGTTGCTTAAAGCAAATGAAAAGTACACATTTCCAAAAATATCCATAAGAATGTTCCTAGTCAGTTTATTTTTATACTAATGTATTTCTAAAATTCAATTACATTGCTTTCTAGAACAGATTCTTCATTTCCCTCACCTCCCTACCCATCAAATTGTACAACCAAACCCATGATTAATTCCTCCTTTCCACCCCCCCTGTACATCCTCACCCCTCTGCTTCCACCCTCTTTCCCCTCCTTGGATTCTTATACCCATTCTACAATAATGATTTTATACAATATTTGTCCTTGTGGGACTGAGTTAGATCACTCAGCATAATGCTCTCCAGTCCCTCCCAAGTTAGGAAATTATAAAATCATTGCTTCTGCATGCTGCATAGTATTCTATTGTGTGAATGTAATGTAATTTCTTAATCCATTCAATTGGGCTGTTTCCATGTTCTTGTGATGGTGAATAACGCTGCTATGAACATTGGTGTACAAGTCTCCACTTGTGCCTCAGTTCTCATTTTCTCAAGGTATATTTCAAGTAGTGGAATAGCTGGGTCATATGGAATTTCTACCAACTGGGAACAAACATTTGCTAATACCACTGTAGTCACTTTATTTTTAATAATATGTAGAACTGGGAATAGTCTTTATGACCCAACAGTAAGAGAATGGATAAACAAATTGCTCTTCTGGTGCAGTATTATTTGGGAATAATAAGAAAAAACTATTAGTGATGGAGGAGACATAACTGCAGAGGGATATAAAGAAACTTTTCTGGGGATGAAAATGTTCCCTGTCTTAACAGGAATGTTGGGTATTCCGATGTATTCAATTGTCAAAGTTCATTGAACTGTATACTGGCTTTTAAATTTCTATTGCCGTGGGCTTTGTACATGTACTGTGTGTTTATTGAATTGTGCTTGCTACTGGTGTTCTGTAACACAGGAGCATGTGTTGGAAGGCCATGGGTAATGGTTCAGGAGCAGGTAGGGTAAGAGAGGAAACAAGTTCCTTAGGGCTGACGCATCTGAATTTCCTTTTCAGCGAATTGAGCAGAGGGATATAAGGAAAGCAAAATTGAAAGAAAAGAAGGAGCATAATCAGAATGAGATTTTAATTCGGGCTATCAAGGTGAGTTCTCATTATGTCTGTCTCTCCTAAATCCACTAGAAGCTTGGTGGTAACATTTCTTAGGATGCTGTACCTGAGTGGCTTTTTTAAAAATTTTGTGTGTGTACCGTCAAATCAGATCTGACTGGTACAGGAGGAGACTGCTCCTCCTTCTCTAGTAGAGCATCTGGTCATCTGGTGGATTCAAACCCCATACTTCAGGGATTACAGTGCAGCTTCTTGCCACTAGGCCACCAGAGCCCCCCTGAGTTGCTTTTTAAATTTTCTTTTTTATTTGCTGAAGTAATGTAATGAAGGAGCCCGAGTGCTGAAGTCAGACCATCAGAGTCCATTGTCATTGCTCCCACTTGCAAGCATGTGTTGACCTCAGGCAATTCACAGAAACCCTCAGAACCAGTTTCTTGGTTATAAAATTAAGGCATTGGCCCTTTATGGACATGTAATTGATAAGTTGAATTGAAATTAATAATTTCCAGCCTTTCAAATTAATCATTTCCAGCCTATTAAAAGGTGGAAGGTCCTGTTTGTCATGGCCATGTATATATAATTCAGAAATCATATGCAGAGTATATAGTGTGTGCCAGACATTAGTTGTGCAGCTAACCCAAAGGCTGCACCTCTGGTGATTGTAATCCACTAGCAGCTCCATGGGACAAAAAATAGCAGTCTCTTCCCATGGGATGTTCAGCCTCAAATTCAGTGGCAGGTCCCATATGAGTTGGTTCCAACAGCAATGAGTATGAGTGAAACACTGGGTAGTGTACCTTGCAGACAAAATGGTTAAGTTCTTGGCTGCTCACCAAAAGGCAGCATGTTCCATGGGAAAAGAATGTGGCAGTCTACTTGAGTAAAGATTTACAACCTTTGAAACATAATGAAACATCCTCTGTCCTGTAGGGTTGCCGTGAGTAGGGATTGATTGAACAGCAGTGGGTTGTTATTACTATCTTAGACATTGGGCAAGCTGCATTTTATTTAGCCTTCAGAGCCACATTCTGAGGCAGATGCTCTTGTTTTGCTAGATAATAAAACATATCAGAGAGGTGAAGCAAACTAACACCTTTGCTTTTAACCACTATGTGTCCTGAGGGCATCTCTAATTTTAGGACATTATTATCTAACTAATCAAAACCAGATGGCATTAAAAAAATCATGAACATTTTACCTCCTTTTCCCTCCCCTCAATTTTGAAATGAATGCAGTCTGATCCAGATGTTGCCTTTCCCTTGAAATCCTAGGTCACTTATTTGATCCATGACTATTTTGGTCTTCAAGAGGGATATAGGACTTTCTGTAGTTTCAAGATAGGTTCTTGATTTCATTCTTCTTGCAATAAAATTATCCACCCATTTAAGTTACTTGACTTTAAGTGCCTAAAACTGTCAAGATGTGCTACTCTAGTCCCTCCTTACCATAAACCATCTGTTAGTTTGTAACATGATATTACATGTCTTAGACATACATAACTGGAGAGGCGGCGAAGGAGAGGAAGACCTTCGATGAGATGGATTGATTCTGTGACTGGAGCGGTGGGAATAAGTGCATTTGAGATGGCTAGATTGGCACAGGATAGAACTGCGTTTAGAGCTCTTGTACATAGGGTCACTATGAGTCGCAAATGCCTGGATGGCACATAACAACAACACATATTAGACAAATCTTTTGTTAGGTGAGGTTGAGTATAGACATAGCAGCCATATCAACAGATCTGAACCCTCTCCTATCCTATAATACTCCATAATACTCTAGTTTCTCATCATCAATTTGCAGTAAGAAATTTGGTTATTAAAAGTAGAATATTTGAATGCCAGACATTTGTATATGGATTTTTTTGTTGTTTTTGTTCTTATTCCCTCCTTTAGTCTTAACTCTTCACCTTAAACTCCAGTCCACATAAAATTACTTTCAACAGTAACATACCCAAAGCCATGTAAACTATGTTATACCTAATGGCTTCAGGCAGCTATCCATGAACTCTGGTGGCCCAGTAGTAAGAAATTGTGCTGCCAACTCAAAGATATGCAGTTCAAATCCACCAGCTGCTCTGCAGGAGAAAAATTGGCAGCTTCTCCCGGCCTCTGAAAACCTGTTGGAAGGTCAGCTATTAGTTGGTTCTGACTTAAAAGTACATAGCAAGGAGGAGGAGGCAGGTGTCAGCAAACTGCAGCCATTGGGACATGGCCATGCCCACTTATTTATGTATTATTCCATGGTGGTTTTCATAATACAGAGTTGAATAGTTGAGACAGAGATTGTTTGGCCCACAAAGCCTAAAATATTTACATTATGATTTTTCAAAGAAAAATTCACCAACCCCTGATTTTAGGTCATCCTGATTTTAAGCAAGGTTTCAATCTGTTGTTCTGATGGTAATTATAAGTTGTGGTTGACTGGATGGCACGTAACCAACTGATGTCAAGGATATGGCCATGGTAATTTTGATTACCTATCATTTCCTTTTCATCTGCCAACTTTAGGATCCCCTACACATACCTATATCCACATGAGAGGCAACTCCCAACAATCCAGACCCTTGACTTGGTGCTCATATCCATGAAAAAGTCAAGATTAAATCAATACACATTACTTTTAGTATTTCATGTTGTAGCCAAGCTGAAACATATGCCATATGTTTCATATGTTGCTGTTTTATGTGCTGTCAAAATAGAACCAACTCATAGCTGACCTTCCAGTGGGTTTTCAGAAGCTGTAAATTGCATGAGGGCAGGGGGGATTGCCCATCTTTCTCCTACAGAGCAGCTGGTGGGATCAAACTGACTGCTTTTGGTTTGGCAGTACAATGCTTTACCTTTAGGCCACCAGAATTCCTTTTCTGAGTTTGTAAATATATGACAGTATTTTTCTGTGATTTTTGCATGTGCTGTCCCTTCAACTTTTCTGCTTGTCCTTGTCCTTGTCCTAGGCCTAGCATTTCCAGCCCACAGGCTAAATGAAGTCCATCTTCTTCAGTTCTGTAGCTCTGCTTTATATTGTGATTATTTCTATAGCTTTATCCCCTATTAGATTGTGAGAACCTTGAGGGCAGGAAACCATCTCTAGCTCATCTGCGTGCAAAGGAGAGTTGAGCAATTGCTGTCTACCATGTGCTAGGAATCCAGTATTAAGATGAATCATATGTAGATCTGGTGCGGGGAGAACTTGAGGTGTTTTGGTTTCCTTATTTCAGTGAAGCAGGCTTGCATCGTATGTGTATGCTTCTTTAATCCAGGCTAGAAACATCCAGTTAGTTTCTGAAACTGCTGATGAAGATGAAGATTCTGCCTCTGAAGATGTGGGTGAACTGTCCTTGGACAGGCTCATCTCTGAAAACCCCTATGGGGCCAGAGTGAATCTAGATGACCAGGGCAGGCTGAACTGGCCTGTGCTTTTTCTGTACCCAGAATATGCCCAGTCGGACTTCATCTCTGCCTTTCACGAGGACACAAGGTACTTACTTGTCTGTGATCCCTCTGCTCTTGCTTATGTGTTCTCTCACCCCTGCTGATTGGGGAGTTGGAATTGGTGAGATTCTGATGAAGGAAACAGAATAGTTAAGATTTCACACAGCCTAGTTTGGCAGACACGAATCATCAACATGCTGACTGGGCTGGTAGATGTAACACAGTAGTAAAATTCTAGCCAGAGTATATCACATAGCATGTTCCAATTATCAGCGGTAAAATAGGAAATCACTTTAGATTGTACATGGATAATAATTCAGGTGTATAACTATTAGTAAAAGTAATTAGCACATTTAACTTGAGATTTCATAAAGCTTAGAAGATGGCAAAATAAAAATAATGTTAAGACTGAATTGATTTAAAGAAAAATACTGTGTAACTAGTAGGATGTGATAAAGGTAATGTATTTTGGATGCTGCTGTTAAAAATGGCTTCAGCCTGCATTGTTGTGTTATGTATTTTCATTGGCATCCAGGGACTGCAGTGTGGGAAAACAGATTATGAAATAGTGATGCCCAGAAACCATATGTTTTGTCCATAGGTTCATTGATCATCTAATGGTGATGTTTGGTGAAATCCCCTCTTGGGATTTGGAGCAAAAATACTGCCCTGATAACTTAGAGGTAAGAGAAGTTTGGGATTTTTTTCAAACAGTCACAAATTACATACATACATACATACATACATACACACAAGCAACCATGGGTTCTTACTGATAGCTCCATTTTGATCCAATAACATAAATTTTATAGTCTTGATTTTTCCTTTTCTGTATTTGTAACAGTGAATTTTATTATTCTTACTATGTTTATATAGTCTTCTTCTGCAGAGGAGTTGGTGGATTCGAACTGTACGCCTCTGGGTTGACAGCACAACTCCTTACTACAGGGCCACCAGATTCTTCCTGTCAGTATTATAGCCTTGAAAACTCTATGGGACAGTTCTGCTCTGTCTTTAAGGCCATTTGAATCAGAATTGACTGAACGAGCCACAAAAATAACACTTGTTTGTTAATCTTGTAGGTCTACTTTGAAGATGAGGAGAGGGCAGAACTTTACCGGGTGCCTGTTGAGAGCACCCTGCTACAGATGTTGCAGCACCCTAGGTGAGTCATCTGCACAGGGCTGGGTAGAATGGGGAGAATGCTTAGGAAGACAGCCATGGTATTGGGGTACCTCTGCCTGTCAGGTTCAGTGCCTTGTGTTCCCTTCTCACCTTGACCCAAAACTGGGAGGTGGCAGCCGTGAGCTGGCCAGGCCTGTCAGGCTGGCCATTGACCAGACAGAATGCAGGATGCAAGTTAGCTCATTGATTGTGCCATGACACCTCTAGGTGAGGGTACATGAATAGAGATATCTGACCAGAGAAAGGCTGCTTGATTACTTTGCTTGTCTTAGCTGCTTGTATGCTAATTGTGCCTCTGTACCCTGAAATTGTGGAAAGGAAAGTGCATTGGCTTTTAAAGTCAGATACACAATCACTAGCTATGGGACTAAGCAAATCGCTACCTTTCTGAAACTGTTCCCTCATCTCCAGAATAGGAATAACTCATGGCTCACATGTCTTAGGGTTGCTGAGAACCAATGAGAGTACACTTCCAGGCATTCTGACAAACTGTAAGACAGGCCCACTGTGAAGTCATCTTTGTTCCTCATGATGGCAGCAAGCTGGATTTGGCAAGTTGTCTCTTGCTTTCCTATAAGATTGTGCTGTCAGTAGGTATATAAATTGCTGGACTATTTTTCTCTAATCTTTGAACAAAGCAAAGTAGAGAAAAGCTAAAGTTTTTGTGCAAAAAAATGCCTGATATAAGAAGAGAATGAAAAAAAAAAAAAAAGAAGAGAATGAGGTAATTGGGTGTAATGGGAAGTTGAGGCTAGAGAGCTAAGCTAGGCCTGGGACGCCCTGTCAAGGGGTGTACAGTGTATACTGATGGTGGTGTGGAGCCAGAGGGTTTATTTGTTTAGATAATAAAATTTATATGTAGACTAATACACAGATACTAAGTGTGTTGTGTGCTGGCGAGTCCTCAAAGTAGGCGAAAATTATAGAGAGCTTTAGAAAGCATATTGGGTGTGACTTGGAGATTTGTGAATTTGCTCAGCAGTAATGTCTACTTTGTCTTATTACTTCTGCTTTGGGTTGGTAGTTGGGAGAAGTAGATTTCCTCAGCACTGATCTTGCAGTGTTTTTCTCTGGATTCAAATCTCCCTTCTAGCTTATAGTCACAATCTTATACTGTTTATTTTCTTAGTTGTTAGCAAATGATACAGAGTTCTTTAAAGACTTGAGGTCTGCCCTACTCCTCAAAGAATGGGGGTGCGGGCATGGAATCTAAAGAGTAAAGTAGGCTGATGGGTGGAAGAAAACCAGTTTTATGTTTCTTAGGAAGTAATGTAAATGCTGCTGAAAGTGATCTCTTTCTCATTGACTAGTATCGGGGAGAGGATCCCAGGCTAGTTTCTGGCAACTCTAGACACTGAACTGTGTCGAACCAAGACTTCTAGCTGATGGAGAGGCAACATTATAATGGATAGAAGAAGGATTGAGACTGTCAATGACTTCATCCTACTTAGATCCATAGTCAGTACACTTGGTTCCAGCAGTCAGGAGATCAGGAGATGTATTGTACTGGGAAAGTCTGTAGTCAAGGACCTCTCCAAATTACTGAGGAACAACGATGTCTGATCTAGGCCACGGGCTTCTCAGTTGCTTGCTATCCATCTGAGAGGTGGACAGTTACTAAGGATGACAGAAGAACAATTGATGCCTTTGAGTTGTAGTGCTGGAGAAAAGTACTGAACATACTATGGACTGTAAAGAGAACAAACAGGTCTGTCCTGGAGAGGGTGAAACCAGGTTACTCCTTGGAGAGAAGGATTTTGAAACTCCCATCTCACATATTTTGGGCATGTCATCAGGAGGAACATGCTTGGAAAGATAGAGTCATCACAGGAGAGGAAGAGCCTGTATTAGGTGGATTGACACATTGACTATAGAAATAGGGGCAGGGGTGTCAGAGACAGTGAGATTGGCTTAGGATAGGGCAGGCTTCAGAGCTATTGTTCATAGGGTTTCTATGAGTCGTAGTCTACTTGATGGCATATAACAACAGTGATGTCAGTTTGAGGACTAAATGGTGCCTGATGGAGGCCATGATCCCTTCAGTTACTTGCTCTGCATCTAAGAGCTGGATTGTGACTAAAGATGACAGATGAAGACTTGATGTCTTTGTGGTATTGGAGAAGAGTGTTGAAGATCCCATGGACTGTGAAAAGAACAAACATAAGTCTTGGAAAAGGTGCAGCCAGAATTCTCCTTGGAGGCAAAGATGATGAAGCTTTGTCTCACTCACGTACTTTGGGCATGTTGCTGCTGCTGCTTGTTATATGTCGTCAAGTCACCTGCAACTTACAGTGACCCTAAACCCTGCTCTATCCCGTGCCAGTCTATGACACACCTATTCCCATTAACCCAGTCACTAAATCAATCCATCTCATCAAGGGTCTTCCTCCCAAGCATGACATCCCTCTCCAGGGACTCATCCCTCCTTGCAATATGTCTAAAGTAGGTCAGAGGAAGCTTCAGAATCCTTGCCTTCAAAGAACAGTCTGGTTTCACCCTCTCCAGGACGAACTTGTTTGTTCTAGAAGTCTATGATAGGTATATTCAATACTCTTCTCCAACACCACAGCTCAAAGTTATTAATTCTCCTTCTGTCATGACTGGTCATTGTCCAGCTCTATGATGCATAGCATGTGATTACAAAGACCATGACCTGTATCAGGCGCACATTAGTCTCCAGACTGACATCATTGCTCTTCAGTACTTTGGAAAGGTCTCTGACAGCACACTTTCCCAGTGCAATATGTCTTTTAATAATTTCTTGGCTGCTGGTGCCAAGAGTGATTGTGGAGCTAAGCAAGCTGAAGCTGCTAACAATCTCAATCTCTTCACCATCTATCATGATGTTGCCAATTGGCCCAGTGGTAAGAATCTTTGTTTCTTGATAAAGAGCTTCAGTCCATATTGAAGGATACAGACCTTGATCTTCTGCAGCAAGCACTTCAGGTCCTCAGTTTCAGCAAGGAGGGTTGTGTCAGCTTCATAATGTAGAATGTTGAGTCTTCCGCCAATCCTGATGCCACATTTCTCCTTATAGAGACCAGCCTCCTGGATAATCTGTTCTGCATATAGGTTGAAAAGGTATGGAGATAGGACACATCCCTAGCTCACTCCCTTTCCCAATTTTGAACCATATAGTGTGAACCATGCAGGGTTTCCTTGCTCTGTTCTGATGACTGCCTCTTGGTCCAAGTATAGGTTTCACGTTAGCAAGATCAAGTGTTCTAGGATTCCCATTCTTCTCAGAGTTAGCCACAGTTAGTTGTGATCCACGTAGTCAAATGCCTTTGCATAGTACTCCCTGCTTTCAGCCAAGATCCATCTGACATTAGCTATAGTATCCCTAGTACCACAGCCTCTTCTAAACCCAGCCTACACTTCTGGCATTTCTCTGTTGATGTACTGTTTCAGTTGTTTTTGGATAATATTCAGTAGAATCTTGCTTGCATGTGATATAATGGTATTGTTCAATAATTTCCACACTCTGTCAGATCACCTTTCTTTGGAATGGGAACAAATATAGATGTCTTCTGGTCAGTTGGTCAGTTGGTTGTTCTCCAGATTTCTTGGCACAACATGGAAAGGTTATTCCTTGAAGACAGACATTGTGCTTGGAAGGTGGAGAGGTGGTGAAAGAGAGGAAGACCTTTGACCAAGTAGATTGACACAGTGAGTGCAGCAGTGGTCTTGAGTTTGTCAGAGACTGAGGATGGCATGGGAATAGGACAGTGTTCAGATAGTGTCATTGGGTCATTATGAGTCATACTGAAACTAGACAGCACATAACAACAATATGGAGAGGGAGACCTGCTGAATAACACTAACACCCTAGACTTCAGGCTTTGCCACTTCCTGCCTCCCCAGCCTGCCCCACTCCTTTTCCTGTGTGTCTCAACAACAGGTGGCTTCAGCTTCCTGAAATCCCTGCGTTTTCCCCTCCCCATTCTCATCCCAACCCTTTTTCCAAATTAAAGTCAAACTCGGACTTTTCAGGAAAGTCAATCATTAACACCCTTACTGATGCCCTCTCCCCATAGAGGAACTGTGCTGCCTTTACTAATATTGTACCTCACAAAGACCTCTACAGTTGTGCCTCACTGTCATTAATTCGTTTCTTATCTTCTCCCCAGGACTGAACTCAGAAATAAGGACTATGGTTTTTGTTTTTTCCTTTCTGTTTTCAGTCCAGAAGTCTTTGCTTACTCTTGCCCTCCCTGGATGTCTGAAAATATGTTTTGCAGCTTTATTTCAGGGGTAACCATAGATGTGAATGTTGTTGGAGGACTGGCCCAAAGGTTCTAGCTATGGTGACAGAGAGAGGTTCATACTGATTGGCCACTTTTATAAACCACCAGCCCAATGAATGTGCTAAACTTGCATTTTAATGTAGGCTGACTTCCAAAGGTTCACCCTGAAGGTGGCTGGAAATTATCATTGACAATTAAGATTGTAATTCAATTAACCCCTTTTCCTTGGTTGTGTTTCTGCAGGTACTTTATAAAAGCCCTGACACCAGCATTTTTGGTCTGTGTTGGATCCTCTGCTTTTTGCAAGAATTATCTCCGGGGGAGGAAAGTGCACCAGATGAAATGACTGAGTCAAGCTGGAGAAGCCAAAACCCTGGGCTTCATCCCTCACTCTCCTGTGGCCATAGTGCACCACACTTGATTCAGCTCTGAGATGCTATTTTTGTCATTCTTGGGACAGTATTTTCTCGTATCTGGCTGGCAAGTTGCTGTTTGCCCTGGACTGCAGCTTATTTGGCCCAAGATCTGAGTGCCATCTGGTTTCCACTCTTCTCTGCTGACACAAAACTGTGTGCTTTGGTGTGGTCATCCTTAGACTCACTACAGGCTTGCTGTGTGAACCACCGGCTTCTGGCTCTAGAGACTATCAATTGCAGTTACCACAGCAGCTGACTTATGTGACCAGCTGGCTTCTGGATGGAGACCAGCTGATGATCTAGTGACATGGTTCTGATGGTCTGTGGAGTTATGATGTCTTAGGGAAGCTACTCCTTAAATTAGACTTATTCACAAAGGGCAAATTTTACATATAATTCCAAGGTATTTACAGAACTACTGAAAGTCAGACTAAGAGACCCTGGCCTCTGGTTACAGGGTAGAGTTGTATGGGATGTACTAGATGGCTTGGGGTAAGGTAAGGCCAGGAAAACCACGTCTCATTTCTATATTTATAAACACTATGTGTACCTGTATGAATACAGGTTCCTGGTAACCCTAAAAATACTGCCAGTGTGCCTGATTTTTGCAGGATTTGGGGCAAACTTGCATCTCTTAAGTTCCTTCCAGTTTTCATGGAAGGATTTAATGCCTTCTAAATGGAAGAATCTAGGGGAGCTCTGGCGGCCTAGTGGCAAGGAGCTGCAACTACAATCCCAGAGGCGCACAGTTCGAATCCACCAGATGCTCTGCCGGGGAAGCAGGGATAATCTCCTCCTGTACCAGTCAGATCTGATTTGACGGTACACGCACACAAAAATAAAAAAAATAAATAAAAAAAATTTTTTAAAAAATGGAAGAATCTTCCATGCTGAGTCAGTGTCAAAGGTAATGTTTTTGTTTATAGCTGTCTTTGCTCACCCGTTAGAGGATTTTGTATGTCCTTGCCTGTAGTCACCCACTTTCTTGGAGTGTCCCTTTGTCACCTTGAGATGCTTCTCTAACATTAAGTTTGAATGTGTGACTTGCTGGCCAAGCCAATGCACTGGCGGCTGGTGTTCTTCTCCTGCCATGAGAACTTATTCCCATGTAGGCTCTTTCTTCAGCCTGGGTCACAGAATGATAAAACATACGAAGCAGAACAGAAGGAGCTCACAAATGAATGAGAAGTAAGTGTTGTAGTAAACACTGATATTTCAGAGCTGGTTGTTAGAAATTGTTGTCATTAGGTATTGAGGACTTAGTGACTCTGTGAACAACAGATATGAATCCTGTCCTATCCCGGGCCATCCTCACAATCTCTGACACTCAAGCCCATCGCTGCAGTCGCTGTGTCAGTCCACCTGCTGGAGGGTCTTCCTCTCCTTCACCGCCCCTCCACCTTTCCTTCTCTAAGGAGTAATTTCTCCTAGCAACATGCCCAAAGTATGTTCATCATCTTTGCCTCCGGTAGCACTCTGGCTTCATCTTCTCCAAGACATAGCTATTTGTTCTTTTAGCAGTTTATGGAGCATTCAGCACTCTTCTCCAACAACACATTTCAAAGGCATCAAGTCTTCTGTCATTCTTAGTCATTGTCCTGCTCTCAAATGCATAGCAAGTGACTGAAAAACCATAGCCTGAACCAGGCATGTCTTACTGTAACCTCACACTGACATTCTTGCTCCTCAGTCATTTGGAGAGATCCCTGACTACAGACTTTGTCAGGGCACTATGTCTCTTAACTACTGGTACCAAGTGTATTGATTGTGGATCCAAGTAAGAAGTCATTGACAGTCTCTGTATTTTTCCCATCTATCTTGATGTTGCCTATTGATTCAGTGACGAGGATTGCTGGTTGTTGATGTTGAAATATAATCCATACTGAAAGCTGGAATGTTTAACCTTCTGCAGCAAGTGCGTCAAGGCCTTCTCACTTTCTGCAAGCCTGGTTGGGTCATCTACATAACGAAGGATATTGACGTGTCTTCCTCTAATCCTGATGCCAGTGTTTTTCTTTAGAGTCCACTTTCTAATAATTTGCTCAGCATACAGATTAAACAGGAACAGAGAAAGGGTACAACCTGAAATACTTCCCAATTTTAAACTATGCTTTGCTTTGCTTGCTTTGTCCCCCTGACAGCCTCTTGGTCAGGGTGTAGGTTTCGCATGAGCACAAGTTGAGTGTTCTGGGATTCCCATTCTCAGTGTCAGCCATAATTTGTTATGATACTGACAGTCAAATGCCTTTGCATAGTCAATAAAAATGAGATATTCTTCTGGTATTCTCTGCTTTCATCCATGATCCATATGATATCATTGTTACAATAGCAAAGCAAACGAATACATTATTAAACTAAAAACAGCTGCTGTCCTGATGGACTAATTGGGGTTTTCATCATCTGTGAAAGATTTGCTCCAGTGTATGTAGAGTTTTTCAGCTTTCCTTCCCAAGCCTTGTCTTGGCCGTATTCAGGCCAGGATTCCACACCTGTCTATTAGAATGCAGAAATGGACAAAGGGCTGTATATTTAGTTAGCAGTGCTTCTAGCAGATCTCCAGCTATCTGACTGAGAGACTGCATCCCACAGAAGATCCCAGTGTGCCTTCCAGCTCACCTGTAAACACAACTTCTCTAACTCCTTTCCAGGGCTGTTAGGAAACAGGCTGAGTTACATACACCTGAGAAGGTGGTGACTATGTATGTAACCATTATATTCCACATCTGGCTCTGACATCAGCCAACTTGTTTGTTTTTGGAGGGTTAAAGTAAAGATGAGATTTATTAGACCCCAAAGGGACTCACCTCCCTCCTTGGAAGTGAGATCAGCCCGCTTCTGTTCTACTTGTCTGCAGGCTTCCTGCAGCTTAGGAAAGGTGCAGACTAGGAAATGAATTTGGTTGACTACTGACATGCTGTGGCCATGGGCAAGGTACTGGCACTCTGTCAAGTACCCAGCACAGTACCTAGAACATGGCTTTATAGCTTCCCTCCCCTCTAAGTTTCAGATATTTATTATTCAGTGTAAATTCTACCATGGTAACACTGATGTGATTTCATGCATTTAGGAAAGAAAAAGCCTGGTTTAGCAGGAAACTGCAGATGGCTTCTGGAAGACCTTTATTATAAGTGGCTTCATTAAGTCAGGGCTGACTTCAGTTTGCTGTAATCCACATTCACTGAGAACTTGTTTTGAACATCGGGCCACTTTGTTCCATGTTTCTGGGTTATACTTTCTGTCCCAGCGGACATCTGGATTAAACAATGCCAGATGCGTGACTGACAGTGCTGCTCTAGTACCTCCAGCTCCAATAAACACAAAGAGTTATTAAGTGTGGATGCTTCTTGGCTTGACCAAGGATCTGGCGGATAAAGTTTGCGACAGAGCCCTTAGGTGCGGAAAGAGAGTGTATATAAAGTTGACAGGCTTAAGCAACCTCTATCCAGGGCACATCTGCGCTGACTGACATCAGTGATTTTGCTTCCCAGTAGGCATTTGGTAGTGTCTGGAGCCTTGGTTATCATAACTCTGTAGAAGGCTACTGGCTTTTAGTGGGCCCAGGGATAGATGGTACTGAGCAAACTACAATGCATTGGACAGCCACCCTCACAGAGCAGTAACAAATGCTGATAGAAAAAAACAAAAACAAAAAAAAAAAAACGCCGATAGGGCTAAAATTAAGAAATCACACACAAAACCAAGTACAAAAAAGTTTTATTCAGCCTACCACGTTCACAGTAGTCACCAGCCCATACAAATGGAAACATTAGCTGTAGCACCCCAAAGGGCAACTTCTCATCCTTTCCCAGGCCTAAAGATAATGGATACAGAGAGGAAACTATGCTATTCATCCTGGCCATTAGGACCTATGTCACCAGTATAAAAGAGAAGGCTCCCAATCCTGCTGAGATGTCCTGTTCAAGTCCTGTTTATGACCTGGGGAACCAGAGTCCTGAACCTCTGTCCCTATCCTACCCATCACAGTGTGCTGAAACACCACCTAATAATCCTCCCACTGGGCATCTTTGAGTGTTTGCCATGTTCTCTGATTTTGCAGCACTTTAAGCACCATCCTGACAATGAGAAGCAAAGTCCGCCCCCTTCTGGGCAAGATTTAGTGGGCACTGCTCGCTGCAAGGTCAGAGAAAAGGGACCTGGCATAGTGTTATAGAAGACCCATGATGGGTCTGCAGTTGAGGAGAAGCCACTGTGGCTAGAAACAGGCCTACCATTAATCTGGGATGACTGAGAATATGGATGCCAGCCTCCTGCTAGCTTAAATGGGATGGCTCAGAAGCCACTTTGGGCTGTGTAGTCTCTGAGCAAGTTCTGTGTATACTACAAGTCTAGTACCTTCTGTTACAAGAAGGTTGGAAAGATCCTAGGGTCCATTAGAGATTTCACATATATCTGGGAGGAATGGGGGCTTGAGGACCTTCACCGCAGCTCACTTGTTTGAGTAAGCCCCTTCCCAAGGCTAAAGGCTCACTTGGGAAAACATCATAAGGCCCATCCTGTTGCAGAGACTAGAGTGTGGAGAGGTGTGTGGCAAGGTAGTGCAGGCTCAGGCTATTACAAGCCATGCAGCCCAAGTTGCAGAGGAACGAGAGGCAATGGTAGCCAGTGAGGTGGCAGCACAGAGCCTGATAGCGGTGATTGGTGGTCTGCAGGTGGGTGTAGGACTTCCTGGAGAAGAGGCTGATATCATGGCCCAGACCGTAGCTCTGTTCAATGATGTGCATGTCAGCCATAATGTCCGACGTCATCTGCCCAAACCACTGGGCGTTCAGCATGGCCAAGGCCACACACACAAACAGGATGACCAGCTGCAGCAGGGTGGAGGAGAGAGGATTGGGACATGCCTGACCTGCTGCCTTATCCCACCGTGACAGCCTTGTGGGCTGCAGCACTCAGACCTGGGTTCAAGCTATGCTCCCATCTAGTGGTACCCTGGGCAAGTTAGCCTCAGAATCTTCTGCAAAAATGAGGTCCATCAGGGTATATGCACTCATTATATAATAGTGATAATACTGTTTCCCTTTCTCCCTCAAGTCTGCAAGAGAAAAGCTTCAGCCACCGCACAAGCAGATTGTTTGCAGGTCACAGTCCTGAAGGAGAGTGTCCTAGCCCTGATGTTGGCACCCAGATCCAGGATGTCTACCTCCAATTCAAAGGGTGCTGGGAGCACTGCAATTCTTGAGTTAGAAATACCTTCCTGCCCACAGATTCAGAGGTGGTTTGGACATTTGCAGCTACAGCAGGCTGGAAAAGAACGATCTGCTATCACCCTGCCAAAACCTTTTCTGAGGCCAGCTCTGGGCACCAGCTATGACCTCAAGGAACACCCAGGCCATCAGAAAAATGGTAGACATGATGCCGCTAAGCTCCAAGCAGCACAACTGGCTCATCAGCGGTAGAAATGATTATTCATTGACAGGGATGGGGAAGGACTTAGGAGAGGCTTCTCAGGAGGAGGTGACATATCAGTTAGGTCTCAGAAGATGAAGAGGCCCAGGAAAAGGAAGAACATTCTCAGCAAATGTGAAGATGTGGAAGGAAGCCTTGCCTGACCTTTGGTCTTCTCTGATAGGATGGTCTGTATCCTTCTCTTTGCCCCATGCATCTTTCACTCCTTATTCTTATCACTCCTTTACACTCATTTTCCCAATGACCAGCTGTCATGCTGGAGGAACAATGAGCAGTGTAGGGGCACCAGAGCCAAGGTGAGACAGAGTAGCAGGAGGTGAGCATTGCCATGGGTAATGGTTTTGAACAGTCAGCGGGCCTAGGTATTTGCATTTGGCCCTTTGTAGTCCTGGGCTCCCTGAAGAGAACTAGGTGCACTTTAAGCAGAGGGTGGTAAGCCCAGAAGGGCTTTCCTAAACTCCAGCAGCTAGAGTAGGGGCTGGGCTAGCAAGGGGCCTGCTTACCTGAGTGGTCTCTTCTTCACTGAGGAGCTCCCTCGGGTGGTACATGGCAAAAAGTATCAGGTTGCAGAAGGCACAGACAGAGCCGATGTGGAAGTAAAATGGGAAGAGGCGGCTCTGGATGAAGCCCAGCATATGCCTTGGCAAGCTGCTGCCCATCACAAAACCTGTGGACAGATGAGGCATCAGTGGCCTTCTGGGAGCCCCTGGCCTGCCCATCCCCTTCTCCTGTCACAGTAAAAGCAGGTGGAGTGTCATCGTTAAGAACACCATCAGGTTAGAGCACGAGTGTTCAAAGTCCCGCTCTGCCACAGAACAGCTGTGTGCTTCTGGGCAAGTTTCTTGACCTCCTTGTGCCCCAATTTCTTCACCACCAAAAACCTCACTGCCATTGAGTTCATTTGACTAACAGCAACCCTGCAGGAGAAAGTAAACGGCCTCACAGGAAAAGGCTGGAAGTCATTTAGAAGCACATTGCCCAATTTTCCTCCCGTGCAGCAGCTGGTGAGTTCGGGTCTCATTTTTGTTGTTGTTGTTGTTGTTGTTAGTAGATGAATGCCTTAACCACAGAGCCACCAGAATTCCTTCATCTACAGAAGAAAGTTTAATAATTGCAGCTATTCAAGGGGCTGTGATGAGGATTAAATGGCATAATCCATGTAAAGTGCACAGAATGGTGCCTGGGAGGTGGCAGGTGCCTAGTAAGCTACAGTTGGGCACCAGGCACCCTGTGGGGCAACTCTGACTTAACCCTGGCTTCTCAAACACCTAGGGGCCCTGACAGTACAGTGATTAAAGTACTCAGCTGTTAACCCAAAGGTCTGTGGTTCAAACTCCATTGGAGAAAGATGGGAAGTCTGCTTCTGTAAAGATTTGTAAACAACTGATAGGTTTGAACCACCTGTCTTTGAGTTGGCAGAGAAACTCCTTACCACAGGCTACCAGAACCCCCCTAAATATATGTACACACACACACACACACACGCACTCTGTAGATAATCCATGTGCCTATTTAGAGGTGGAGAGTGAAAGAGGGGAGACCCTAGAGAGTAGTTCTACTCGATCTAGATATAAGGTAATTTTAAGTCAGAATCAACTCGACATTAGTGGATGTTCTGCTTTCTCAGACCCTTGATGAGGGAGTCCCATGACACTACAGCTCCACGCTAGATGGAAGAGATCAGACCCCTCCATGGTGGACACAACCCTCAGGAGTCACCTCCCTTGGAAACCATGAGTCCTAGAGGCCTAGCGAGACTGAGACTGGCCATGTCTATTTTATATCCCACATTCTTGGTGCCATGGGTAGTCCTGGAGGGGAAGCATAAGTCCTAGGACCTGCTGTGCAGGCTGGGGTCTGCCTGATCCCGGGGAGTCTCTGCCCTCTCTAAGCCTAGTTTTCCGTACCTGTAAATGGAGAAATACCAGTCTGCTGCACATAGTTGTTAAAAAGCTATAGATGGGAGGGCACTGCATCACTGCCAAGACTTTTTTTTAATTACCAGGCAGCATAACTCTTCACCTAAGAGCATGCCAAAGCATGGTGCTTCCCCCTCCCCCCTTTTTTCAAAGTATGGCTTTTGATACTCTACAGATAATAATAGCTTGGATTCTGGCTCTTTTACAAAAGGCTGTATGCAAATTACTTAACCTCAATTTCTTCCTCTGTAAATTGAGGCAAAAATATTGCCCAATGTACATGTGTGGGTGGGTGTTGAGCTGCCTCGGTGAGATCCGACACCTCAGCCTTGAGCTGGACACGTGGCAGGGGTCCAGTGATACCAAGAAGCCCAGCAAAAGTTATGGGCTGCACGAGTCCCTGAGACACACCTGAGATGCATGTCACCCAGATCTGCATGCCCCAGAAGGTGGCGAGGAAGACCAGGTGAAGAGTCTTGATGAAGTCCGAGGGCTCTCTGTCCGTGGGCATGCTGCCTGATGCCAGCAGTCAGTCTCTCCACTGGTGTCTGCACCAATCCTGCTACTTCAGGGCACAGAGAAAGGCTCGGGTTGAGTTCCCAGACAGTGGGGCAAAGGACTGCTTCCCATGTGAGGGCATCCCACTGGCACACGCCGGCTCCCACTTGTGCCCTAACTTTTCCAGTCTTCCTCCTACTCACTTCTCACACCAATCTGACTGCAGGTTCTCCTGCCAGGTTGCTTCCTAGTTCCATGCCTGTCCTCTAGCTGTTCCCTACCTGAGTGAGAGGCCCTTCCCCTACCTGGTTCAACTGCCAAAACCTACCTATCTTAGGAGCAGCTCAGTCCATACCTCCACTGGATGTTTTTTCCTGTACCTCTGCTCTTAAACTTTTCCTGTATTTCCTTTCAGCCCAAAAGATACTTGCCTACCTGGTCCACCTGCCAAAAACTTTCCTGTCTTAGAAACTCAATCCCTTTCCCTGAATCTCCTACAATGTAGCCAACTCTTCATTCCTCCCCCTCCCCCTCTGGACATCTGTCCTAGGCCCTGGACACTGCATTACACCTATCTGCCCAGTTGTCTGCCTCCCCTTCCATACTCTGACATGTCAGCAGGCAGGGGCCAGATGAGGATTCATCTGAGTGCTGGAGCTGGACCCAGCGCGGGGGTTCAGTGAATGGACTGATGGTGGACGAGTGGTAGAGTGAGATCAAGAAGGAACCCAAGTGCTGTTCTGAGGTGCCTCCTGCACACACACAAGCATCAGCAACCGCGTCCCCATAATGAATACCAACATAGCCACCTGTATCTTCTCCACGAAGACCTGTGGCATCCCTAGCTCTAATAGTGGACCGGCGAGGGATGAGCACTGACAGCGGCACACCTGGTATTCAGATCCCCTCAATCCCCAAGGCCCTGATGCCCTGAGACTGCGGAGGAAAGGCCGAAGACTTGGCTGGGGCCAGAGTTCGCTCCCTGCGCCGCCCGCACCACACGTAGCGCGCCATGGGCTTCCGGATCGGCTCCAACCTGGCGCGCACCCAGTCCGCGCGCTCCCTCCCCGCGACGCCCCAGCCACCTACCGAGCGCGCGGCTGGCAGCTCCCGAGGTGTGGTCCCGTGTGCGCTAGACCCTGGGAGGACTCTGGGAGTGAAGTGACGAGACTGGGCGAGGCGGGTCGTGGGATGGGCCCTGGGAGCTCCCCTTCCTCTGGGGGCGGGGCCGGGCCGGCTGGGTAAGGGGAGGGAAGTGGGCCTCCAGGACGAAGCTTCCTGGGACTGGTGCCTCTGGGCTCAAGGGTCCCTTATCGAGCACCTTGGCAGTTCCTGATACATCCATATTCTTCTCCAACACTTCAACTCAAAGGCATCAATCTTTCTTTGCTATTCCTTATTCCTTTTCCAGCTTTCTCATGCATTTGAAGCAATTGAAAAATACCATGGCTTGGGTTTTTTTTTTGTTGCTGTTAGGTGCCATCTGATCAACCCTATGAACAAGAGATCTGAACCTTGTCCTATCATGTGCCATCCTCATGATCTCTGATATGCTTGAGCCCATTGTGACAGTCACCGTATCTTGGGTTGCTTTTTGTGTACCATCTAGTTGGAACTGACCCATAGTTTTCAGAGGCAGTTAATCGCTAGGGAGATTGCCCATCCTTCTCCCATAGAGTAGCTGGTGGATTCAAGCTGTGTACCTCTCTGTTGGCAGCACAATTCCTTATCAGTAAGCCATCATGGCTAGGTGAACTTACCTGGGGATATTGTTGCTGATGTCAGATTGATCATGGTTAATTGAGAAGAATGGGAATCCCAGAATATCTGACTGTGCTCATCTGAATCCTATATCTAGACAAGAAAACTTGTCCCAACAGAGCAAAGGAACACTGCATGCATATCAAAAAAGGAATATTTCAGAGATGTATCCTTTCTCCATACCTTTTCAGTCTATATGTTGAACAGTTCATTTGGGAGGCTGGACTATGAAGAAGAACGTGTCATCAGGATTGGTGGAAGACAGCAACAATCATGCATTATACAGATGATACAACCATGATCACAGAAACTGAGGACGACTTGAAGCATAATATAAAGAAAACAAAGATACTCACCACAGGGCAATATGATAGACAGAGAAAGACTGAGGTTGTTAATTATTTAATCTGGATTGGATCCACTGTCAACATCCTTGGCACCAGCAGCCAGGAAATCAAAAGATGAGTTGCATTGGGAAAATCTGCTGTCAGAGACCTCTCCTGAGTTCTTAAGAGCAATTATGTCAGTTTAGAGACTAAGGTGCACCTGATTCAGGCCTTGGCCTTCTCAGTTGCTTGCTATGCATCTGAGAGCTGGACAATAAATAAGGATGATGAAAAAAGAATAAGTGCCTTTGTGTTGTGGTGCTCGAGAAGAGTATTGAACATATCGTGGACCGCCAGGAGAACAAATAGGTCTGTCTTGAAGAGGGTGAAACCAATTTTTCTCCTTGGAGGCAAGAATTTTGAAGCTTTGTCTCACATACTGTAGGCATGCTACCAGGAGTGATCAGCCCTTGGAGAGGACATCAAGCTTGGAAGGGTAGAGGGTCAGCGCAGTAGAGAAAGACCCTGGATGAGATGGCTTGACATAGTGACTGTGGCAATGGGGGGTGGGTGTGTCCGAGACAATGAGGTTGCCTCAGGTTCAGAGCCATTGTTCATAGGACCTCTGTGAGTCATATTTGACTAGATGGCACATAACAACAAGAAGCAATCTTGACTAAGTGGACTTAAGTCACATCTTTGCTTTATAACATTTTAAAGATGTTTTAGATTTGCCTAATGTGTTGTTTGATTTCTTTTAAAGTAACTTATTATTTAAGTTAAAGTTTTACAGAGTAAATTGGTTTTCCATTCAACAGTTCATACACGTTATGTTTTGCTATTACAATCCTCATATTCGTACAGCACTCCTCCAGTTTGTTCCCTAGGCTTTTCCCCATGTGTCCTTTCTGAGTGCTTCCTGTCTTCTAAGTCATTGCTATTGGAACCAACTCATAACTGACTGTCAATTGGGTTTCCAAGGCTATAAATTCCACAGGTACAGGATTCAAATCCACCAGCCACTCTGCTGCAGAAAGATGGGCAGTCTCCTCCCATGGGATTTACTGCCTCTGAACACCCACTGAGGGTCAGCTATGGGTCAGTTATGCCTTAATGGTACACAACAAACTGCATTAGATATTGCCCATCTTTCTCCTGTGGAGCAGTTGGTGAATTCAAACCTCCAGGGAGGTGTGACCTTTGGGTTTAGTGGTACAACTCCTTGACCACTAGACCTCCTTTCTAAACTTCACCCAAATTGAGAGCAAATGCTCTCAATCTGATCTTGATTGTTCTTGCTTGATTTCCTGGCTGCTACTGTCATGGGTGTTGATTGTGGAGCCAAGTAAATGAAATCCCTGGAACTCCAATCTTTTGTTTATCATGCATGATGTTGCTTATTGGTATGAGGATTTCTGCTTTATATATATTGAGTTGTTCTGAAGGCTGCATTCTTCCTTTTCTCAGAAAGTGCTTCAAATTTTCACAAGTAATGTTATGCATCTGCATGTCTCATGTTGTTATGGGTCTTCTCTAATCCTCCTTCATGTAGTCCAGCTTCTAAAAGGATTTGCTCAGTGTACAGATTGAATAAATACAGTGAAAGGATACAAATGTTCTGGAACTCCAATTTTCTCAGTGTTGTCCATAATTTGTTGTGATCCACACAACTGAATGCAGTTGCATAGTCAATAAATAAAACAGAGGTGTCTTTCTGGTATTCTCTCTTTCAGTCAAAATCCACCTGACATCAACAATATCCCTCATTCTAAATCCTCTTCGGAATCCAGGCTAAATTTTTGCCAATACTCTGATGTACTCCTGCAGTTATTTTTAATTATCTTGAACAAAATTTTACTTGTGTGTGAAAGTAATGATATCATTTGATAATTTCTGTGTTCTGTTGGGTCACCTTTCTTTGGAATGGGCATAAATATGTGTCTCCTCTAGTTAACTGGTCAGGTAGTAATCTGCCAAATTTCTTGGCATGGATGAGTGAATATTTCCATTGTTGCATCCATTTGTTTAAATATTTCAATTAATATTCCACTAGTTCTTGGAACCTTGTTTTTTGCCAGTGACGTCAGTGCAGCTTGGTCATTTGTCTTACAATCATTTAGTGGGGCATCAGAGAGACAGGCCATCAAGGTTTAAGTCCATCAGGCAGTCTCTGTCACCAAAATCATGGAGAATATAGTAATATATAATTGTTGTTGTTGTTATGTGCTGTGGAGTCGCTTGCGACTCATAGCGACCCGATGTACAACAATCCTAAACCCTGCTCTATCCTGTGCCAATCGCATTGCCTCTGACACACCTATCCCAGTTACCCCAGTCACTGAATCAATCCACCACATAGAGGGTCTTCCCCTCCTGCGCTGTCCCTCCACCCTCCCAAGCATGATGTCCCTCTCCAAAGACCTCT